GATTAAAGTCTTAAGGGATATTTAGAAGGTAGACAATTTATAGGAAACCATTAAAAATAAAACTCACTTGAGTGGATAAACATGCCCTTCTGCCAAGCTGAGCAGAATAACAAATTTAAGTTGGCTTTTTGCCCATAGGGACTTCTGTGCTCGGAAAACCTCTTGTACCTTGTCCTTAAATGTCTGTGAAATGTTTTTTATGTACTTTCCCCCCCATTTTTCTCTGAAAGGAGAGCTTGGTTACATGTATTTGTGGGAGAATGTTGTCTATTTGAGAATACAATATCAGGCTGCTACCATCATACACCTTCAACTGGCAGTAAATAACAGGGATACAAGTTGCATAATATTTTGCAGTCAGGTGTTCTTAAACTACCTGAAAATGGATATATTAGAATGATGAGCAGTTTTAGATGAGCAGTTTTGTGACTGCTCATCTTAAAGACATGAGAAATATTAGTGGCAATATTTCAGTGTTTCAGGACCAAATCCTTGTTGGCTACAGTGGGATCAGTAGTAAAAGTGGTGAGAATTTAAGCACAGACATTCTGGGACTAAATTACTTTCAGAACCACAGACCCAAGTCAAGCAGATATACACACATCCTGGAAAATACTGAAGCTTGACATTCATGGAGGGGGAGGATTGTGTCGTGTGGGGCCTGCAATGTAGGAGCTTTTCTGTGTGCAGAGACTCAGCAAAAGAAAATTGAAAAGAACAGGAAGTGTAAAATCAATGCTACAGCAAATTAAAATCTCTCTACTACTGAAGAGAGCATCTGTCTAGGAATTTAATACACTCCAACTTATGCACGCTGGCTTCATGCTTTTTGTTGATTTGCTTCAACAAATGTGAGTGTTTCCATGGGGAGGGAAACTTGGACATAGTCTGCTCAGCTTGCTCTTGCCCTTTACAGGGAGCTGAATTTGTTTTGTTTATTCAGACAACAGAAAAGACAGTGAGGCAAATAAAATTCCTTGTGATGAAAAACCCAGCATGTGTAGAAATTCCAATCTAAATCTATACATCTAAATGTAACAAAAATCTGGTGTAAATCTATTTCTGTTTGTCATTCTAGTATCAAATAGTGATTTGTGATGATAGGGGAGCGATTCACATGTGTAAACATAGTGCACAGATAACACCACGGGCTGCCTGAGACATTGGTACAAGACTGGTAGTTATGTCCCCTCACCTTGGAGACCCTGTACATCATAATAACGGTGCCCTGCTCTCGCTTTAGACATAACTCTTGGATAAATCTTTTTGGCAGACATGGAACCAAGAGAAATTTGGCCCGCGATATTAATTCATTAATATTATATGATAACAACTCTTTGGAGACTGTTAAACCACAACTGAAGTGGCTTGCAGCCTCTTATGCTGAAGTCCTACTGTTCCCAACATCAGTATGATCCATATGACAACACCTTTATAGCCTTATATTTGGTTTCTACACAACTTGTTTCTCAGTGCCACTGTCGAGAACAACAGCTGTAATCAGACAATAAATACACTGTGACAAATGGAAAAAAAGGTTGTTTTCAGGTGTAGAAAGGGTTGCAATGATAATTTGTCACTGCAGGATAATAAGCATTTTGTTGTCACTGGCTCACCAGCTCATGAGATTTGGTTCTTCAGTAGATCAGTGGAGGAACACAGGGCCACCCTAATTTCTTTGTGCTGCCTCTTTCAGTAACCCTCTTCTAGCTGCTGTGCTGTCCTCCAAAACACCCTCGCAAAGCCTAACTTCACATTTTAATGATCAACAAGGCAACAAGTCTATACATTGACAGCAGCACTGTAATGTAGTGACAAATAGCTTTCAAACTCTATTTAATCACTAAGAGGTGAAGTCTGGTAATGTATCCAATATCCTGGAGAGAATAATGAGTGGCAGCTCCCTTATAATTATAAATTATGATTTCTTCTGGTATATTGCATATATCTTAGAGGAGACAAAGTGTATGGATTCTTGATTTATCATTCAAAATTTTTATCAGCTCATGCTAAAATGTCACTGTGTCAAGGGCTCTCCTGTAAAAAGAAATGCAAAACTAAATACTTGGAAACAAAGTGCCATTACACAGTACCTTAAAGAAGTAATATAATGTGCTTATTATGGCTTTGTGTGTATATATATATATTTTTATATATACATATACATGAAAATAATATTGTAGCAGTCACAGCTTTCAGAGATATTCCATAATGATTTCACTTACAAAAAATGCAGGAGTTGTGTATTAGCTGTTTCTGGACAAGATAAATGTTTTAGCAGATAGCTATAAGACTCCCCCTGGCAGTAACAATCCCTGGATATATATAGACTCTCCCTGACCCAAAGTGCAAAAAATGTTACAGTCCCACAGTATAGTATTCCTGCATATATACCTAGACAGAAGAAGGAGTCCAAGCACAACACCAAACCCCACCAATCCCAGAAAACCAAAACCTTAAAGGAACAGAAATGAACGGGGGATTGAAAAGGACAAGTCAAATATAAGATTTCTTCAACCTACAACATCATAGTGATCTGGGCTTGCAGGACAAGCCACAGCCCAACAAACAGCTACAGATACTCTTTTCCTCTCGTTCTAACACAAGGCATATTTTACTGCTAGATATTACATACAATGCAATGCCCATAGAAATAGTCTCATATGAACTATAAGGGATACAACATCCTGGAGTAAACAGCTTAAATGAAGATTTCTGTGGCGTAGTTGCCTACATTTGGTCAAATGAACCCCAGGACTACTCTGTTTTAGGTCAGGCCTTTTAGGTCAGAACCACACCTGCAGAGAAAATTCAGCTCTGAGTTAGTACGTGGCAAGTATGATGAGCTTTATTCTCTGTAGCTCAGCCCTGCATGTATTGATTGCTCATCCTTCCCTTGGGTGGTATAAATGACCACAGAAGATGCTGGCCAAGAGCACATCAGTCTCACTGGCTCTGAGGGATCATCCAGAATCCACAGAAAGGAAATAATACTCACTTTTCAGTGCATTGGAAAAAATAACCTTGTACAACTGAAAGCTTTTATGAAATAATAGCAACCTCCCTCACCCCAGCTCAGGTGTATCACATCATTACATTAATGCAGACAGAAAATCAGACGCCATTGATTTTTCCAGACCTCTCAGATTCACTCGTGAAGAATCAGGATGAGAAGTGGAGAGCATGGCAACTATTACTGCATCTTTTCAAATTCAAGACTCTTATTTTTAGACTCTATACAACCTATTCTCATGTAGCTTCTTTTTTTTTTTTCCCTTCCTTTATTTTTTTTGTCTCTTTTCTCCTAGTGTTTCCTAAGCCACATCTTTTTCCTAGGCTGTATCTTATGTCTGACCTTGACTAGAGAGACTCTATCTTTTGTCCTTGAAAACACAACTGTGCAGGTAACTTAATAAGCTTTAGGCACTTAAATCCTCTCCATCTTACAGAAGGTACAACTTCACATCTTTATCAGTTGCTTTGCTTTGCCATTTTTTCCCATATAATTGTTTTATTATGTATGACAGCTTTTTTTATCATTTCATAGTATGTGCCACACTGCGAGTGAACTTCGTGCACATACCTGCCTCTCCAATAACTGAGTAGACTTCCCTCTTTTCCAGGTGTGGTCCAATCATATCATTACAACAGAATTTAATGTAGCAATTAATAGTAGGCAACTGTTCCTTTTTCAACATCTAGAGACTAAATCTGTTTAGTGGCCACATTTTTCCCATCTTAAAAATTATAATGTAGGTTTTATTTCTTCTGTTATACAACTCCAAAATTGCTTTTCACTGAAAATCCTGGTGTGGTTGCTATTCAAACATGGTCGTGATTACAGAAAATAAGGTCCTTGCAGGGCTCATGTCAACATGGTATGTGATGGCCCTTCAGTTTACTTTTATGTGACTTAGAACAAGGAGTACCATGAGGTCTATTAGCACCTGGGCCAACTCCCTTGAAACAGCAGTAGGTGCTCTGTAGAGCATCAAACGCCCCATTTCACCCCTATAAAAAATGGGCATGATCATTTTTATATTAATTCTAAAGCTGAAATATCTAGGAATAGAAAGTTTCTGTGCAGTATGGAAGCATTGCTGCAAGAGAGAAATGTAATGTGGTTTGACAGATTTCATTTCCCTCCTACCCTTTCAGTTCTTGACCTTTCTATAGCAACTATCAGCAGAGGCAGAAAATAATACTTATTTGTGTGGTAGATTTGATACTATCAGAGACTCGTGTCCAGTTTTACAAAAGCACCTAGACTGAGTAAACAATACAAACAATGAGAGAGATTCAGATATCTGTTCTCTCTCTGTCAGTCAGCTTGAATCCATCAGAGCTAAACAAAGATTCAGATTTAGCTTGGACAGTGGATGAAAGTTCCTTCATTTACATTATATGAAAAATTTTCTGTGATATTGATTATCCATCAGTTTCCAGGCAGGCAGACATTAGATTAACAGATTTTGAAGCCAAAGAGAACCATTATATAATTTAGCATCATTTTTTACATCACACAGACTGGGAAGTTTAATTCTATTAGTCTCTCAAAAGAAAGACATACAGTCTTGATTTGAAAATGTCAAGACATTCATTATATCCCTCAGCAGTTTGATGCAATGGCTAATCACCCTGACATTAAAACATGTGCTCTACTTCAAATTCAGAGCTGATTCCCAGACTTGGGTTCTGGTTATTTCTTTTTCTGCCGAAGCTCTTTAGTAGATGGTTCTATTTCCTCCTTCCCCCATTTGTGAAGTTACTCATCCACTATAATTGAATCATTGTTTGAGTTTCTTTTCACTACAGTTAAATAGATTGGGCTCTTTAAATCTCACAGCAAAAATCACATCTTCAAACCCTTGAAATAATAACCGTGGGATATTCCTCTGCTTTACCTAATTTTCAGTAGATTGATGCACACTTTCTTTGGAATACAGCGGAATATTTTAACATCATGGCCAAGGAGTTAGGAAGGAGGAGGCAGCACTCACCTCCTCTTGCTGGGTATAACTCCCATCTCCTCGCTGTCTCCCTCCAGAGTGACCCTCCTCGCCTGCCACCATTCATCGTCCGAGGCATTGATGACGTGAAGGATGTCTCCATACTTAAAACTGAGACCCTGGCTTGGGAGGCCACTGTCTTTGCTCTTGTCATAGTCAAACATGGCTCTGTGAAAGAAAATAAAGAGATGAAGACAGGTGTTTATATCAGTCTTGAGAACATTTACTTCTGAACGATATGTCATATTTTATGCTACAGCTAACCCTTGCTCCTTTCCAAATGGAAAGGTCTTGCTCGGAGGAAAACTTTCCACTGTGAAGTTAATATTTATGGAATCCTCTTTTTTAAAGAGGAATTGAACAGTAAAGTACGGTATGTACTGTTTCACTTAATAAAGAAAAATCACAGTATCAGAGTGTCTAGTAAACAAACCCAGAAGCCCCTCTTGTCACCTTGCCAACAGCAATTTGTGGATGTTGAGCTTGTTCTTTTCTCACACTTCCCCGTGCACAGACAGAGGGGTCTCTGGCCGACATGGGTGCATTGGGAGGACTAAATACAAGGGTACCAGAACTCTGCCCAGGGTAATGCATTTCTTTAGGTGAATGCATGCACTTATTTTAGCATCTAATTCAGACCAGAAGTGAGCTTTCAATGGGAATATCTTGATTATTCCCACTCACAGTGCTTTGGTTCATGTCCTGTAATTGTGTTAGATTGCACAGATTTGATTCCTGAAATTAGAGATGAAACTGAAAGGCAGGGGATTTGAACTAGATGATCTTTAAGGTCACTTCCAACCCAAACCATTCCATGATTCTGTGAATCCGTGCAGTTTCTCAGCTCAGATTCCTGTGTTGTGACATCTAAGATTATTATCAAGTCTTGGTTTCTTAGAGAAAAAACTATGTAGGAATATTTTTCCCATGTAAAATATTGTTTAAAGGGAATTCTTGTCAACAATTGATGTTTATTTCCTATAGGGAAAATAATATGATTATAATCCTGACTACAGAAGTGTTAGATCAGTAAAATCCCAAGAGGTGCATAATAATTCCTACTTTTTTATTGTCAGAAATAAAGCCGTGGCAATCTCTTCACTGGTAAACACTTCTGTGAGAAGGATTTGATATAATTAATTGTTGTGCATTGTAGTGTAATTGCAGAGAATGATTATAGCAGCTTTACGGGTAGATTTAAAACACTCAAGGCTACCTCTCATAATGAGGAGAACTTAAAAAAAAGTTATCATCAGAGTTGTAACTATGCAACCAAAATAATTTAACAGCTCTCATAAGCACTCATCCTGCATGAAAGGTCTGGTTCAGGAGGAGGAAAAATATAATTTGGAATATGTCTTCTCTTAAAGAGTTTACAGTCATTCCTAACATCTTCAGAAAATCCCAGATAATCTCCTTCTCTGAGGATGAAGACAATAAATATGCTAAATTTTACATAATCTATGAGTTTAGATTGTGCCTTTCTTGGAAAATGCCTTTGGACCACATGTAACCTTTGAAAAATTTTAATGTCTTAGCAGTAAAAATAATTTAAAAACTTGGCTATATCTTAATAATAGTTTACATTCATAAAGGATTCTTATCAGTAGCAGGTCACCAGCTGTCTTTTCAAATAATGCTTTCTCTGAAGACATATAATGAAGAAGCATATAATCCAGAAGCAGATAAATATCATCAGACACCTCTCCTTCACCAGTTAATGACACCTGATCTCTGGAGAAATGGAAGTGCACACACAGACACACAGCATATCTCCCTGTTGGTACTGCCATGATCAGCATGCAGTGGTCAGTTTTAATATTGTATTGAACATTCATTGTCTTAAAAATTCACATGTTGATGGGAGCCTACCAACATCACAAAACCCTCACCACTGTTGGCAAGCAGGCTAAATACTGGGCAGATGTGATATAATCCTGAATCCACACATAACGAAATTACTCAAACCGAATTACAATATCTTCTGTTATAGAGAATATGCAAGACTGTCACATCCCAGGTGTAAAACACATGCCAAACTGGAAACACTCCATATCTGTGTGCTAATTTTGGCTGGGATAGAGTTAATTTTCTTCACAGTATCTAGTGCGGGTCTATGTTTTGGATTTGTGCTGAAAACAGTGTTGATAACACAGGGATGTTTTCATTACTGCTGAGCAGTGCTTACAGAGTGTCAAGGCCATTTCTGCTCCTCACACACCCCACCAGTGAGTAGGCTGGGGGGGCACAAGAAGTTGCGAGGGAACACAGCTGGGACAGCTGACCCCAACTGACCAAAGGGATATTCCATACTATCTGACATCATGCTCAGCATACAAAGCTGAGGGAAGGGGAGGGGGGATTCAGTCATGGCATTTGCCTTCCCAAGTCACCGTTACGTGTGATGGTGCCCTGCTCTCCTGGAGATGTCTGGGAAGTAGTGAATTCCTTGTTTTGCTTTGCTTGTATGTGCAGCTTCCCATCATGGGGAGAGTGATCGAGTGGCTGTGTGGCGCTTAGTTGCTGGCTGGGGTTAAACCACAACAATTTGGCAAGTTTTAAGATGAAGGGTGTGTTTCAAAAGCGAAGTAGTAGAAAGAATGTATAGCAGTGTTCTTTGTCCTTGAGCAGACATTTGTACCTCCGAGTCCATGTATTAACTTCAAATCACAGACTGCCATCATGCTGGCTGATGTTAACGATGAATGCAGATGGCAGTGTTTGCCACTGACTATTTTTGATTGGAGTAATCACATGCAATGCTAATTAAAATGAGATTACAGATGTCAGACAAGAGAATTTCTGAACACACTTTTCACTGAGTGAAAGATTCTGTGGCTTCATGCTCTACAGATGTTGACTACTCCATTAGTAAACGAAAATGATATTAGAGCTGACTTCAGTGCTCTTTCCTAAACATTTCAAATTAAGAGCCAGGTTTAAGTTGACAACATAACTGTATTTAAGCTTACAACTTCGATAGCATTGCTGGCTCTGTAAAACATACTTTTGCAAGTTGGCAGTTCCCCCAGCTATAACACAGAGTTGTTCTCTCTAGCCACTGCTGTACACATGAAGAAGTTAACATGACCTTGGGCAACAGAAAGACCTAGGCACACTCACCCTCCCCTCCTACTTGCACTTCTCAGACTGTAAGTACAATTTGGATTGCTACATGTCCATTTGTTTTACTTATGGAAGTTTTACTTACTTAAGAGGTTGACATGTAACTTCTGATTTTCTACCTGATGAACAGCACCCGCTTCTGTTTGCCCTCAGTCCTGCAGATGTATATAAAAATAACACATCTGCATCTGTTGAGTGTCAGCCGGAGTGATACAAAATGCGTGTGGTCAGACCTCACATTTGGTAAAGGAACTGGGCAGCGCACACAGAAAAAGATGCTTTTTTTTGCTTTGCTCTTTCAGGGTTTTGGGCAATTACAGCCTAGTCATACAGGATACCACCCTACATCCTTCAGGCACTGAAACTTTCATCAGAGAGTCAGGTTCAGCTCTCAGCAAAGTCTGTTTGATCTATGTAAGCCTCTTTACCCAGATAAAGGTGTGTTAGATACCTTAGATAGGTTCTGCCATACCATGGGGACTATCGGAGGAAAGGCTAAAATGTAGTAGCATCTTTGCAGAGTATTATGTGTTGAGGAGAGGACATAAGCAACCCAATCCAGCAAGACACCCACCCCTGTGCAGAAGACCCATCACCACTCTCTGAGAGGTGAGCACTGCATTTTGTTTTCAGTGAGAGAAAGACCAGCACGATCAGGACCTGACCACCGTAACTCCCTCAGCCAAGTACTCTTCCAGAATGAGATATCTAAAGGTAACAGCAGTGTTACTCAAACCAGTCACAGGATTTAACCCATGAAGACACGTCACAGTGCCTCTCTGTGATGAGTTGGAGGTCTCTCTGCACCATAGGAGCACACATAATGCAGACACTGAAGAGCCTGCTCAGCAGAGCTAAAGAGCTTCCTGAACTTGCTAACATGACTCCGTGTTTTTATCTGCCTGAGTCTGCTAATTCATGGGTTGCTTGTGCAGTTCTTCAAAGCACTGAGCCATAACTCATTTTTAGTGTCTTTTACTGCAATTTTAAAGAATAATAATCTCAATAACCTTACAGCTTTCTAATGGCACTTATCTGATAGGCTTGGATACTAACAGCTTCTCCTTTTTTTCTCCACAACTGATAAAAGCGCGTCTTAGAGAGCAGTTCTCCATCTTTCAGGTGTTTTCTATCCTCAGTTAACTGCTTACGTCCACTGTTCAGACATTTTTTGGATCATATAAGACAGAACTAAGAGCTCCACAAGGCCTTTTCTATGGCAGCAAGCACTTTTTTCAGTCCAGTGATTAATTCTACATTTGAACTGGCATAGTCAATTTTTAATAACAAAGGAAATGAGCTTAAATTATTTAACTTTCGTTTTAGAGCGAAAAACGAAACATGTGTTGTGATCACACCAGCATCAGAAAAATTCCTGTTCAGCCTCTTCTGGACAGTGCATTTCACAAACAGGACCCTGAGTTACACAGGATAGATACCACATTTTGAGGCTACAAATACAGTAACACCAGTGATTACTGTGAGATATGGATAAATCACTGAAATAAGGAACAGAGCTTGCTATAAACTAATTAAACAGATGTGGCAAAACCATGATTAGGCTATCTTAGTCCCCTTATTAGAAAAACAGCAATAGGTGTGGTTGTGATTGTCAAAGGCCTAAAGAATACACACCAAATTTCCATTAACACCTTTATGTTTTTTTCCTCAATTCCCAGGCAATAGGTTGTGGTTGTGTGGCTGTGACCTTTAGGTCAAAGGCCTAAAGAATACACACCAAATTTCCATTAACACCTTTATGTTTTTTTCCTCAATTCCCAGATTTTGCATGAGTTTGAGAAAAAAGTTTAATATCTGTACAATATTTCGAAAGTGAAAAGGGTTATTCAAGTTCTAAGTATTGCTGCTGTCTTTGTGAAAGACTTCTGCTTGAAGAAAATTAGGCAAAACTGTTTTGAGAAGTGAAGCAGAAGGTGCAAAGTTTTAGAAGAAGCTGGATATCACAAATATTTAAGATGATGTGAGTCTTGTTTTCTTGATATTATTCCAAACATCAGAAGTGATCATTACACTAGGCTAATCCCAGCAGTAATTTGGACAGAACCTAACAGGTTTTATTTTTGTGCTTGGGTGCTTCTTAATCATTTTTAGGAACCCGCATCAGCGTAAAACATGAGACAAGCATTTCACAACAGCATCAAAACTCATCACTCAAAAGTTGTTTGAAATGAAAATACTGCCAGTACCAAGCCGTAAAATACTGCCTAACATGCAGTGAGGTGTCCACATGGCAGGTAACAGCACTGAAACGGGAGCATTTTTTTTTCCCTCCATTTAGTGAAAATACTTCAATGTTTGAGTTATGTCTAAAAGTTAAGTTGCATTGTGTGGTTAATTTCTATTTCGAATGACACCTATTCTTGCAGCCAGAGAAACAGATGTTTGACATAGAAGAAAACATATTAGCTTTAAGGAAATAGCAAATCAACTCATTGTGCAATTCCGTATATTGCAGTCTATTGGCTCCCTATACTGTTACCAGCATTTAAAGAAAGAAAAATAGGATACAGAAAGGCTAAGTGATCTTACTAAGCCTGTGTCAAAAAAGAGAATTTAACAGAGAAACCTACCTTCCTCAGCTAACACTGTACATGCCATTTGTGAGTTAGTAGTCTTCATGATCTTCCTGACAAGGCAAAGGGCATTAATGCATTTACAGCACAGCCATATATTTTGCTGAATGCTCCTGTATGCTCTGTACAAACCCACAAAGTCTTCAACTCCCATATCACTGCACTACGGCCAGTAATCTCAATTTGATACAGTTCAGGTACTGCGTGGCAGCTTTATTTGCATCTCTGAAATTGCTTTCTTCTTCTGGCACAGATGGGAGTTTGCACATAAATTTACAGACTGCTCCTTGCCATTTACTTGATTATGAAACGACAACAACATTTAGCAGGAGAGATCTTCAGCTTCTGTAAACAGTCCTAACTCTTCTGCAACCTGCCAACGTTATCTGCATTTGCACCACTTAAGGATATTAAGTGGATATTCTTTTCTCTGAAATTTTCCTTAGCAGAGATTCTCAGACATCAGGTTTTATAGCGTCATCATAAGGGAGAGATACTTTATTCTCCTTATTGTCCAAATCTACCCTACTCCTTTCTTTTTTTTTCTTTTCTTTTTTTCTTTTTTTACAGATGGGGAATTCCAGTGCAAGGGGTTTAATCATTTGCCTGGTTTTAAATGGTAATTCAGTGTCAGACTCAGACCCCAAGTTTCATAGCTGTCTTTTCTGCACTCTCAATAACAGATATATTTCCACCCACTTGCAGGCTCAGCTTGAAAAAAACCCATTAGAATAAAATGAAAGAAACCCTAGTGTAATTCATTGCTATAGTTACAACAGAGAGCACAGCAGCTCTGTTAGAAGCAGCCACTGCAATACAATTAAGATGCTATTAAAAGGGTTAATTTTTCACATAGTGGCATGTCAATAAAGACTTTTACCTTCTCCCAGCTTCATTTCCATCTGGAGAAGCTAAACAGGTAAATCCTACGTGCGGAGCATACAAAAAAAGTTGCTCTCCCCTTGTGAGGTGTGGGATGACCTGAGACGCTGTTTGCTATGGCTGGAGGCTGCCAGAACAGCCCCTGTGCTCGGGATGATCCTGTCGTGCAATGTCACCTCCTCTGAAAGAGCGGGAGAGGACTCTTAAGAAGAACAGCTTTTATTGCAACAATGTGGTTTCAACTAAGAACATTTGAATGTTTTACTTAGTACTTACAACTCAAAGATACCATGATTCTATTCCTTGCCTTGCCTGCCCTTCCCTCTCTTTTCCTGTTTTCATGATGTTGCACCTCTTCATGAAACTGATCCCCTCAGCCTTAATTTCTGCAGTTGGGCTGACAGGGACAGTCTTATCAGCATCTGTGTTATCAAATTCAGACATGCCAGGGCACTGCAACATGGCTGCCACATTCCTTTTGGTAATTAGCACAAGTCAGGGCTGATTCCCAGCAACAATTTGGATGCACTGCCTTTTTATGGTGGAGAGGAGGATATAGACGAAGTGATGCAGGCTGTTGTGATGGGCCATGGAAGATGGTCCCAGGCATGTGTAGCATAGCCAATACCACTGATGGAGACCCTGAGGGAGTGGACCTGCCCCTAAGACATCTTCACTACACCAAATCCCATTACACATTTGCATCCAAACCTTTTCCATTTGCTACTGCATTCTTTCTTTACTTCATCCAGCAATTTCTCCATTCAGTCCAACCCATTCTTTACCATTTTGCTCCTAGTGGTAACTTGGCAGAGAGTTATGCCACAGATTTCAGTGAAAAAAGGGTTGGAGACAGCAGTATTAGTTTCAGAAAAATTTCTCTAAGAGGAGGGAGATATTTTCTTTATGGTGTTTACATCAGGAAAGAGGACTGTCATTTGTCCTCAGGGAATATTTTGTTCATTTTGCAAGTCCAATCATGATTCTTAACGGCAGCTCCTGTGAGCCAATGCTTATGCTGTTGATGGGGTTTTTTGGGTCTTCAGCAAGTGCTCATGTCCTCTGCAGGAAATGGGTTCTTCTGTACTGAAAAATTTAAGTCAACATTTTCAGAAGTATCAGTCAAAGAATGTAAGTTGCGCTTTCGTGGTCTTGCTATGCAACAGCATACGAGGTCCTGTGTTAAAGGCAAAATCTCTCACAGCCCACAGTGAGGAAGGACTGACAGCTTTAGTCTTTCAGCTCTGGGCATGGGCAGAACTTATATTACTCCCAGGTTTGCCTGGGTATAAGATCTTCCAGCAGGAAATGAAAGGTGGCTTGAGAAAGTGAAGCTCTCATTGTCTTCTCTTGTGCTGGCACAAGGGGAGTTCAATTCAGGGTACACCTACTTTCTGTTTCTATGGCATTTTACAGGGCATAAAAAGGCCAAACATAATTTCCCTTCTGCTTGCAAACATCTGAAACCAGTATCAACCTGCCAGCATGCTTCTCGACCCTTTCCATAATTTATTGACTAGGAAAAACTGGCTGCCAGTTTCATCTGATAAACGCAGAAGCTCTTAAATACGCCTGTGTTGTACTCAATGTATTCCAGATTTGCATATTTGAGGTTTGCATTCCAACTGGGAGACTGCCTTGGGTCAGAACACTAATTAGATTTAGCTTTAGGTAATTTG